CATTAGGCCTAGCAGTCTTAGTAAAAAATCCAAGTCTCACGGACAGTTAGTTAGTTCTATTTCTATTGAAAATTAAGCATCTGACATGTAGATTTAAAGTTAGATAAGTAATTTTTACGCACTTTTAGGATTTAGTATAAGACTAGCTTGGTTTACCGCCTGACCTGATCTACGAAATTAGCGAAAAGTCAGGGATGGCCACTGGTTCGAAGTTGTTTATTTCAACGTCTTTAACTTAACACAATCGGCAAAGCGGATTCGCTTAACCGAGAGAGAAGAGTTCTTAACTTCTTCTTGCTGCTGGAAGCGTAAAAACACTCGGTTGGTAAGATATGAGAAAATAATAAAAAAAAGAATTTTTTCGCTGTTAGTAGCAGCAGAGTTACAAAATCTTCGTGTCGCCGTCAAAGTCGTTGGGTAAACCGGGAAAAGAACCTTGTGAAAGCCATTATAAGGCACAAAATTGAATAAAGCTACAGATAAACATATGAAATAAACTGATCCGAGAAGAGAGAAGTAAGTTTATACACATGAGAATTGGGTGAAATCACCTCAGCCAATAATTTGGTAAGGACGATGAGCGTAAGGATATTCGTAATGTGACACAGATGCAGACGTCAATGAAGCGCGACAAGTACAAATTTTCTTGTGAGAAGAATCTCTTGCGCCGCCGGAGACCGAAACTTTATTCTTTACAAATCATTAGGGAGTAACTTGGGCGTCTACTTGGGTTATTTTTTGCGTTTATTTGCAAACTCTTCCCCGAGAACACAAACGAAGTAAACAAAGGTCCCCCGCAAAGACATATGTAAATCTTCTGACCGTCACTTATATCTCAATAATGTTAACAGACTCATACGATTTTCGGACAGCACCAGCACTCAAACGAAATGTCTTAAAATTATATTCCGACCATTGGTTTACAAGTTACATCTCGTATACGTATTATAAATTACATAATATATAGGTTTTGTCAGTAAACAACGGCACGTATGATGATAAAAGATAATAATTGGTTAACAAATTGTAATGGAGTCAAATGCAATAAAAACTGCAGTATTCGCAACCAAGCATTGCTTCTGCTTAATTGATTCATTTCGGTGTAAAAATTTATTCAAAACTATTCAAAAAAGCTTCAGATAAATGTAAAAAAATTCATTTCTAAAAGAAACCTCAGCAGCAGAAACCTATGCAGCAAAGTTTTAATAAAATCAGCGTAAAACACCATAATATAGTGATGGAAAGTAGAATCACCTCAATGCACTCAGAAGAATTTGCGAGCCTCGAATGCACTCGTTGCAAATATAAAATGATACGATATGCTCTCTCAAGCATTCCACATATTCCTACTACTACTGAAAAAGGAAAACATTGAAGAGTTTATTTTCTTTGCTGTTCTCCTTTAAGAAAAATTGTAGTTTCACTTGTGTTACAAAATAAACTTCCTGTTATGTTGAAAAATGTACTTCCTATAGTCTGTATGTGTATTTCCTTTATGAGATATATATATATATATATATATATATATATATATAAAGACAAGTTTACGTACATCTATCTATACCGAAATGATAGACATACAGTAGATGAATTACTGCTATTGCTGGTCGTCGTGCTGCTGCTGTTGCTAGTTGTGAAACCTGAGCTACATACCGCACACAAGTGCAATCTATGTCTGAATGCATTTCTTTCATTTTCGTTTTGTTTTGCAGCAAAGGCAAGAGGAAAAAAAAATTATATGAGGAAAAAAAACAAGAAAAAAATATATGGAAAATGTACGTCTTTCTATCCGTACCAGCCGTAAAGCATACTATTGCACTTTTCTGGTTCAACACTCAAGACGCGTGGAGGAGTTCATGAAAATCTCCACTTCTTTTTTCCCTGCCCCCCTCTTAATAGTTCATTCTGCTCTTTCCATTTTCTTAGACAACAATGCCCTTCAACAATATATACAAATATATATAGACGAATGAAACGCATACATACTTACATACATATGCTCGCATATATGTTTGAAGTAAATATAATACAAATACTAAAAATCCCGTCTTAGCCGGGGCAAATGAATGCGATTCTAGCGACTGTGCGGAGGAGAGAAGACGAAAAGAAAGAAAACCAGAATAAAGTCTAAAGATCTCTTAAATTACTTGAGAATATCTTGAGCACATTTTGTGTAACTGTTTGTCTCACGCTCAGTAGCATTATGGCTGCAAAACTTACTTACATATAGTCCCATATTGTCTGCTTTTTTCTGTTTATACGCTCCATGAATGCATTTACGCGATATGTTGATAAATAAATAAATTACAGAAATTTAAAACTGTTCGTTTCCAAATAATTATTTTAACGGTTTTCCTCATATTGGAATCTGCTCTATATACTCGACTTAACTCTACTTACTCGTCAGTGACTTCATGAACGCAGAGAAGGCAAAAATATTTATATAAATCCCTGATTATTTTTCATAAATGTCTCTGACAGATTTTCGTTTTCTTTTTTTTTCTTTCATATTTTCTTCCATTTAATAATGAAAACACTTCTTTCACATAGTTACGTGTAGCTACGTACATATATCATTCAATATAAGAAGAGCATGTGTCTTGTCATATATTTATATACATCCATATAGCATATATACTTTCATACACCGTATATATATATATATATATATATATATAAGCATATATCATTGAATAGCTCGTGTTTGTGACATTTTCATATTTTTACTTGTTTTTAATCTTTTTGCAACTCTAGCAACAGCTTCATCTTTACATGGTTCCCACCAATGCCATCACCGCTAACACCAGCATTAACACTACTGCCACGTATTCAGTGTATATATCATATAGTGTAAGGCAAAATGACAGAACATTTATATTTATATATATATATATAAGATATATATATGCATAGATAGATGGCTTTACTTATACTATACTCGCAAACAACAAACACATCCGTATTTTCCTGCCTGCATGCTGTATAAATTGCATTAAATCGTTTTTATTTTCCTCCCGCATACTATATATATACACATACATATATATATATATATATATATATATATATTTATATATTTTCCGGTTTTCTTTTACAGTTTTTGTTTCCTTTTTATGTAGACGTGTGTATTGATAAGCAGCTTCCCGTTAAATCATGTTCAAATTCACTTACGCTGCTGCCAGGGTATCTTTTCTTTTGCTTTTTCTTTTTCCTTTTTTTTATTTTTTTTTTATTTTTTAGGTTTTATAAGTTTCTTGGTTTTACTTTTCTTTAGCCAAGCAAGATTGGTTTCCTTCCAATAATAAAACGAATCATTCAAGATTTTCTTTTTAATCCAAGCAAACGATCTCTCATCAGCAGATTATGAATTTCTCTTAAATTTTGTTTTATTTTTTCATTTATCTATCAAAGATATATATAAAGATAAATAAATTGTAATACCTTAATCGAGAGCAACTTTAAAGCCGTTATCCGATGTAGGATGAGAAAAAGATAATTTAAAAATTAATTGCTTGCCTACTTAAACAGTAAGAAGACATGCAAATATGTTTCGATGACTGCTTCGCCTCGAAACTACACAGATATCTCTTTGGCAGTATGAACAGTGTGTACATTATTTTCGGAAATGTTTTCAGTTATTTGGCTTTTTGAGCAATTCAACCGACTATTAAACGGGGCGTAATCAGCTTAGCGCTGCTCCTTATGAATTTTTCTTTTTGAGGGCCTCTCAGATTTATAATTCTGTTCATAACAAATTCCTTGTTGCTCCATATTCTATAAGTATTCGCTTGTTTAGGTTCGGCGTACAGCAGCAAATTGATCTCGCTTATGCTGCAATGTGCTTATAATGCAAAAATAGGCTTTAACTAAGTTGGCGAAGGCGGGAATATTCGATGGAAATAATTCTCTACTTTCCACATTTGACTTATGAACATTCTGATGTTTTTTTTTTTATTACCGTATAAAAGGACAGTTATACGGTACCCTGTCTAAAGGATTTCATTGTCTTTTTGTCAGCGCAGGGCAAAATCAAAGCTAGCAATCGCTTAGTCTCGCTTTGGCAAAAGTTATCTAAAGAATTCGCAAAAAAGTTTAAGGCAATTATTTGGAACCATTACTATATTTCATCGTAGAAGGGATACCTATGCCATGTGACCTGATAGTACCTCAGTTCAGTATCAGACAGTGTCTGATAATAGTAACTTTCAGCAGACCTCCACTTATTATCAAATCGCGCTACGTCGGTAATGTACACGAATTTTTTTTAAAAGGACATTGCAGAACAGACTTATATCCTCTACATATATATAATTAAATCTACTCATCCACAATTTCCGAACGTTTAGAGACAAAATTCCAGGTTATTGAAGCCATAGGCAAAGGCCTAAAAGCGGTCAGATGCCAACTATTAATCATTGTCCCGCATCCACCTCTGGTTAATTTGCGATTGATTAGTTTGATCGATCTAAATTAAATTAGCATTACTCATGTAGAGATTGTCTTTAACCATTGTTTAATCATTCTATATTACGTCTTAATAATTATCTTGCATTATATATATATATACATCGGTGTTCCTTTTTTCGATCAACTAATCGTTTATCTCATTTAACGTGCTATAATTAAATAGCAAGGTGTAGGAGCTACCCGTAGAAAATCCAAGTTGCACAGTATAATTTCACGGTCGAATTTTGTGCTCTTCGACAATGATAATATTATCGCTTATACTTTAATAGTCAAGTATTCGTTATCAGAAATGTGAAAATTTGAAAACATTTTGCAAAAATATTCAGATAACTTTAAGGTGTTTTTTCACAAACTAGTTTCGAACTGGGCCAGTTTTACGAAGAACTTCGAAAATTCGAATATCGCACAATAGTTTTAAATATGATATTTATTTATTTATTTTACTCCGTGGGAAATTTTGTAAATAAATGGAAGGAAGAATTTTTTTTTTTTAAATTTACTTTTCCCTTAATATATAAAATAAAATCGCTTACCTTCGATTTGTTTACCGGCCGCTGCAGCAGCTGCTGTACTTAAGGCAACACTGGCTAAAGGTGAAGTAGATAAGGCGGCACTACTGAATTGTGGCAATCCAGCAGCTGTTGACATATAGGCCGAAGCCAAAGGATTCGGATCAGACCCTAGAAAACAAAAAAAAATATTTGTACAATTTTTTTTTTTTTTTTGTTTTTATCACAACAGCCCTCAACATTTTTTTTTTTAATAAAATTTTTGATTTTTTAATATTTTGCCAGAATATTTCAAGCGTTAAAATAATAAATTTTGTTTTGTTAGTTGTTCTTAGATTTAAAAGAAGAAAACAAGAAAAAAAAAAAAAAAACAGAAAACATTTACACATATGTTATGTTAACGAATTTTTTTATCTATCTCAAATTTTTTCAAACATATTCATGTTCATAAAACAACAACTAGGTCACGTGTTATGCTTTGAAACTGAGAAAATTTTGCAAGATTTAAACTTCTAGCTCGAGAAAAAACAGCATGTATGCTTTAGATATGTACAGGTATATGTCCTTGTTACGCTTATTCTTACCTTTAACATAATTGTTTCGCGAATGCAATAACGAACAACAATACATCTCAAGAAGTAAAGAAAACATTTTCTAAAGGAAAATTTCCTGGAGTAAAATAAAATATAAACCATACGCACAAAATATATACATACATATATATATATATATATATATATGAACATGTGAAACTTGAACGCATTTTAGCAGATAAACATATAAAATACTCGGTGTACGCGCACTTGCTTGCAAAGAGATTTACTTTCAGAATTAAATTAAATAAAACTCATACTATACCAAACACTTACACATCTCCACCCTACTTATACATGTATCAACAACTTGAATTTTTTTACGCGAATGAAATTATCAGCTTGTATAGCTGTCAGTAGATCTTTCATATTACATGCACAATATGCACGAGCAGTACTCTCTACTTTACAGTGAAACATAGGTGAAAACACTACAGCAGATCGTGGCCCAGCAATAAATACTCAGCACCGTTTAGTTATTTATAAAAGAACTTTCGTAAATAAAGCGCTGACAAGGTGGAAGGGCGGAAGAGATCGAAAACGTGATCCAATCCCAACCGTTTTTAATAGCGTTTGCTCGTAGGCCAAAACACGTCGATGTAACAAATTTCATCAAAATATCTATTGGATGTTCATAAGAAAAAAAGATGGACAGACAGATAGGCGCGCTTTAAAAAAATTCATTTCGAAAATGATTTCGTATGAATAGCCGGGCACGCAAAGGATCGCGACCAACAACTCAATGGTCGCAAGTTCAAATCTCAAGCGTGGTAGAATTTCAATACAGTCGAGCATACCATTTAAGTTATCCGGCAGCCTTCAAACCCAGACAGTAAATGTATGATTCTAAAACCGTCGGCATAACAAATCTATCTACCTATCTATAAAAACAAGAAATATCAAAGGAAACGTTTGCTTATAAGAAAGTAATTCGCACTGCTCCGTCATAAACGTCGCTCGTGAGAGAAATTTCGCACACTAATCCTTATTCTATTATCAAAATTGTCATTGTCTCATTGCATACAGACAACACTTGCAAGCAATGGATTGACTTTAATAAAATAACTAAAATGACTATCTTTTGTGAGGAGAAATTTCATTTTTAATCTAAAGGAAAGTGAAGCCTTTTTTTTTTTACAAGCCGAAATGTTCTTAGATCTTCCTCGTAAGTAATTTCAATAAAATAATTTGGGACGATTTATTTCGCGTAACTGTACACGTTCTTGTGCAATTAAGTAAAGAGTACTTTATGTGTTTCTTTAGTCGGTTTGAAAAGAGAAATGAATACACTATGCATGTGCATTTAAGAACATATGCCACTTACATATGCATATCATGCATATAATGTATATATTCCTACAAGTATACGTAAACATATATAAGCTTATGTACATATATATATATATTTATACGTATTAAATGTTAAGATTTGTTAAGTCATTCGAGAGTTTAACTAAAAATTAAATAAGCTTTTGTTTTCATATTTTAATACATGTTAAGTTACTATCGCTAGGAGCAACTTTTGAAGCTTGCTTCAGATAAAGTTTTTCTCATAAACTTTCTCGAATGTCATTCTTAAAGACAATGGATCAGCGTAGCTAGTTAATTGCAAACGTAACTAAGTGACAGCGAAAAACGGAATTAATTTTCTTAATAAAATGATAATCAAAAATTTCTTGTCATGTTCTTCGCACAAAGCTGGTATATGTAGCAAAAACAATATAAGTACACCCGCGTGGCTTTAAGCATCTGCTGCCGTTCAGCATGAAGAATAATTTTGGTTCAAATCTTTCTTAGTTCGTTCTAGACTCAAGATTTAAGCTTATAACAGATTCAAACTTATATGAACTTCATATCTGAAAGCAAGCAAATGCTGTCTCTTCATGGGCATACTTGTTAAGGTAATGATGGCACAAGACTTTTCTATTATATCGAATTTGGGACGTTCTTATCGTATCGTGTACACACCCACTACCATGTAAAAAAGTGAATAAAGGATGAAATTTTTTTCCATGAAGCATCATAAAAGCATTCTTTTTACTGCATTCCAACCTAAAGTACCTTAACGTCCTCGAAACAAGGCATCGATCATATGAGGAAAATATGAGAAAAATATTTAAATTTTAAACGTTTTTAAATATTATATGAAATACTCTTTCTTTTCATAGCAGAATGATGATGATTGACTTAATGAATTTCTTAACAACTTGCGCATTTCATGTTTCAAACTAACGTTATTTCATAATGCAATAACAATGTTCAAAGAGCGAAAGAAAGGAAAAATGAGAAAAACCAACAAATTATACTTCAGAGAATAGTGAACATGCAACAAAGCATAAAATCAAGTTCACTTTGAAAACAATATGCGCTGGAATAGTAAATGTACATTCATTTCTATAGTTGAATTGTTTAAATCAACATTCAACGTTTGAAAAAAGAAGCGCAAAAGCAACAATTGAATTGAATGAGTCCAAGAATTATTAGAAGAATTATAAAAAATAAAACACAAATGCAGATGACAGCATAGAAATATAATAGCGTAATAAAGCAAAAAAAAAAAAAAAAAAAAAGAAAAAGATTTTATATTCTACTAGAATACCCCGTTTTGTCCATATTTATTTAGTTCATTGTTTATGAGATATTGTTGTGTAGAGGGAAAGCAGCGCATTTATAAGAGTTTTTCAATTTTAATAATATTTTATTTATTTTTTCTTGCTTTTCTAGGACCAAGCACCATGTCATTATTAGCTGGATTATAAATAGGAAAAGAGAAATTGGTTGCTTCTCTATTCCATAGCATACACACATATATATATATATATATATATATATATAGGGGACGCCCTACATGACTAAAATATATGTTATGGCATTATTTGTTCTACAGTTACACTAACATTGTTTTAGGGTACAATTGCCTTTTCAATGTGCGTGAGAGGGCATGTGCAAGTGTGAGTATGTGTGTAAAATTGTGGGTAATAATTCTTTTCAAATTAAAGCCCAAGAAAAACTTTCACTGGCACGTATACATTATTCTCATTTTCTGTTTGCTTTTTCAAGCGTTCATTTAGTAGAAGAATTCATATTACTACTGTTTGTACATAGTGTAATAAAGACTTTTGGCGAAATAGGGGAATCAAGTCTACTTTAAAATTTGTTTGCATCAACAAACAGGAAATTTGAAAGTAATTTTTCCATTAAATTTAATAAATAAAATTAGAAGAAAATTTCAAACATAAATCTTACTAATTTAGGTCATAAGAGACTTAACTTTATAATACAAATATTGTTAAAGTAAAAATGCACAAAAATATTAAATTAAATTCTTCTATTGCTTTTTCATATAAAAACTGAAGTAATCACTGTTCATAAATGCATATGTTTTCTATACCCTTCTACATATTTTGCATAATATTTTTAACAGTTTTTACTCTATCCAGTTTTTTATTTTATCTAAATCATGATTTAGTCATTTGGATGTAAATTTTTGCATTTTAAATATCATCACGTTGAGTTTACTTCTCTGTATTTCAGCAAGGCGTTTTTGCCCCTGTATCTAAACTATTGTGATCAATGTTTGTGAAAAGAAAGCTATAGATTGTTTTTAACCAACCAGGTATGGTTTTCTAGATACTATTTCCTAACTCCATTTATTAATAACACATTGCTTCAAAACAAGTTGAAAAAAAGCTAATACATTTTTGCCCATTTCTAGTTTATACTAATAGGAACAATCAAGGATCTTATAAAGATTCTTCTTGTATGGTATTGCCTTAGCGCCTGTAAGCAATTTCAGACGATTTTTAGCTGCTTCCACAGCAAAAGAAAAACTATGTCAAAAGTTAAGTTAAACAATTACTAGGTCGACGCTAAAAAGTAGGGAATATATTTTCTTAATGATTTACTCCGAAAAATAGGCAATAAAACTGTTACATATCAAAGGAATTCATTCTGTTCAAAAATATTTTCAAAATTCAATTCAAAGACTTGTCTTGATGACCTTGAAGTGCATATACCCCACTGTCCAGGGTCGTGTTGCAATTAAAGGTTTAAATTGAAACCATATATAGTCATGTTCTCTTTTCTTTTAAAGCGTTTTATTCCTTATAGCTTATTATCATTATGTTCCGATTATTTCCTTCTCAAAAGGCTCGTCACAAAAATTAACCTAATTAACTTTGTCTTGATGTATTTAGAAACACTCTGTGGAATTAAGTTATAATTTTAACTAATCGATAATAGTGTAACGTATGTAATAACTTTAAGGTTTAAAACTTAAACTACGTTACGTATAATGTGCTATTACTCGCATTATAACAATGGAGAATGTGTTTTCAAGAAGAAGATCTTTTAGAGGTTATCTTAAAGCAAGATTTCTTTGCAGGCATCTTGAAGAAAGAGTTTAAAAAAAGAAAACTAAAAAAACCTTTAACTATGGGCCTCCTTCCGGTTGTATATAATTTCCCAGTTTGATATTCGTGTTTGACTGCTAACGGCTGATCTTTAAACAAGACGAGCTTCGACAGCAATTTGAGCATTGGCAATATTCGCAAGAATTTTGGTGACATGATCCTTTCCTTTTCCATTATTGTACATAACTCTCTTTGAAATACGTTGAAAGAATTTGGGAGCAATAGAAGTAGGAGACAATTGTGAACAAGTTGTGCAAAGCATACTACATAATATGTTTTTCAAAAGGATCGGGCGATTGAAAACAACTTTTGACGAGTAGTGCTACTAATGAAAGGAATTTCCTTTTGGCATAGAGTATTTTTATTTCAATTCAACAAGTTCGAAAACGCTGAGAATGTTAGTATGCAGATGATTCACTTACAAGGAAACTAATTGTTCTTTATATATATATATATATATATATATATATATAGATATATGTTTAGTCCAGAAATATGCAGAAGTCCTTAGTCATCTAAATAAATAGAGTGAACATATAAGATGAAATTCCATCTTACTAAGGTCTTACTATGTTCTGAACTTGATTTACTATCGATTTGGCGAAAGGTTATCTAAAATTCGTTTCAATCTTTAATATTTGTTTTTTTTTTTTTTGTAAATATTATACGAGTACTTTCCCATTCTTCTCAAAAACGTTTTTACATTTATTTGCATTTAAATATTTTTATTTTGTCCACAATTTTCTAACAATTTTAAACTAAATATTGTATTTCCATGCATGCATACGTACATTAAATATGCAAACGCACACTCCGAGGCACTCACTCATGAACGTAAAATAATAATAAAACAAAAATAAAATCTGGGTTTTTAGTTAATTTTATGCTTATGCACTGACGAGAGTATAAAACATGAAAATAGCATTCGTTACGTAAATTCAAATGTATAGACACAAGCGCACGCACATATAAGAGTCACATTTAAATGAAATGTTAACAAAAAAAGAAATAAAAAAAAAAGAGAAGAAAATAACGCATAAGTAAAATACATTTTTCCCACACCATTGACATAATAATAACATGAGCTTCATGTATTATATTTATAAACATATAAGAGTGTGTACGACGAAATCCAACAAAAAAAAAAAAAAGTTATGGAAAATAATAATAACAGTAATAACAATAATAATATGTATGACTTCGTTTAAAATGAAATTGTTTTGCTTAACATTCATAGTCACATATCTAACAACTAAACAAAGAAAAAAATTAAAAAAAAAAACAATAGACTTTAAAACCTTTTAATTGCACATTTAATCTTGCTTTTAGTTCTACTTAACAAAATCTCACCTGTACTGGCGGTTTTTCCTAATAGACCTGCATCAAGTAAGAGTGTGTATGCATTTGGCAATACAGAGTCAGAGAGAAATAGAGAGAGAGAGAGAGAGAGAGAGAGAGAGAGAGAGAGAGAGAGAGA